AATTTATTTATTTTTTAATTTATATATGAGAGTGGAATGCATTACAATTCTTATTACACATATAGAGCACAATTTTTCATATCTCTGGTTGTATACAAAGTATATTCACACCAATTCAGGTCTTCATACATGTACTTTGGATAATAATGATCATCACATTCCACCATCATTTCTAACCCCATGCCCCCTCCCTTCCCCTCCAACCCCTCTGCCCTATCTAGAGTTCCTCCCATTTTCCTGCTCCCTAACACATTGTGAATCAGCCTTCTTATATCAAAGAAAACAATCCACATTTGGTTATTTGGGATTGGCTAACTTCACTTAGCATTATCTTCTCTAACTCCATCCATTTACCTGCAAATGCCATGATTTTAGAACACATTGTAGTTTGGTTTTAACTGTCTATGAATAAACCATTGGAAGAGATGACCTGGTATTTAATTCTATTTAGAGACGATCACAAGCAGTGTGTTTGATAGATAGTGCTGCCAGCCCATGAAGTACCACTAGACTTTATACTCTGGAATACCCAAAATGTATGTGAGTCCTGAGGATTTGTGCTATTCCAGAAGACTTTTGAGGCTTGACCTCAATTTCAGTTCTTAGATCAGTTCTTAGATTTGAAGTGCTCTGTGTTCTACCGTTTGGTAGATGGGCATCAGATTTCATTAAGGATTCCAGATCACTTAAGGAAAAGTGTAAGTTTATCAGTTACTTCTTTCACAGATGAATGCTTTTGACATTGTATCTGAAAGTCATTGCCAAACCCAAGGTCACCTATATTTTCCTCTTAGTTATCTTCTAGAAATTTTATAGTTTCGCATTTTATATTGAACTCTATAATCTATTTTTAGTTAAGATTTGTAAAAGGTGTAAGGTTTAGATCTATGTCTCAATTTATTTTTTTGCCTTGTACATATATGTCCAATTTCACCACCTTTTGTTGAACAGACTTGCTTCAGTGAATTAACTGCCTTTGAGCCTTCATCAAAAAACAGTTGACTCTATTAGTATGGGTCTGTGTCGAGGCTCTCTATTCTGTTCTCTTTTTTCTTCTTTTGCCAGTACCACACTTTCTTGAATACTGTAACTTTATAGTAGTGTCAGTTCTTTTACTTTGTTTTTCTTGATATTGTATTGGTTATTGTTTTTTTTTTAAACCTCTTCATGTACTTGGAATATTCCTCTATGTATTAAGATCTTCTTTGATAGTTTTCATCAGAATTTTACAGTTTTCTCATATTGATCTTATACACATTTTGTTATATTTGCACCTAAGATTTCTTCTTTGGCTGCTCAAACAATTTTTTAAGTTTAAGTTTTTAAATTTTTTATGTTAGTTAGTGCTTTGGAATCAAACCCAGTGCCTTGGGCATGTTAGGCAAATGCTACATCACTGAGCTACATTCCCAGTTTAAATTCAGTATTTTTTGGATCTTGATCAAAGTATGCATATTTATGTAAATAATTTTTAGATATAAAAAATAATTTAACTAGAAACAAAGAAAGATATAAACGAGTCTTAGTATCTGGCAGTGTTGGTTGAGTTATGTGAACTATCTTGAAGTTCTGCCCCTGGAGTTGTTAGTCTTCAGGCAGATTACTATCTCTTCACCACCTCAGTACCCATTTCTTTCCTCTACATTTTTTTTTTCTCATCCTGCTTTTCTTTTTCTCATACCAACTAGCTTATCTGTTCCTTTTTAAAAAATATTTATTTTTTAGTTTTAGGTGGACACAATATTTTTATTTTATTTTTATGTGGTGCTGAGGATTGAACCCAGTGCCTCACACATGCTAGGCAAATGTGCTACCACTTGAGCCACATCCCTAGCCCTTTATCTGCTCCTTTAAAAAAAAAATTTATTTGTAGATTGACACAATAGGATTGAACCTAGTACTTCACACGTGCTGGGCAAGCCCTCTACCACTGAGCTATAGCCCCAGCCCTTATCTGTTCCATTTTATCTTTCCTTGATCCTAATGCATTTATTTTCATTTTAACTCTTCTCAACATTTACCTACTTCAAGCAAGGTGATTTTGAAAGTTCCTGCAAAGAACAATAAACTGAAGAATGTTTTGGTTCTAACAATTATTTGTAACTGATAATAATAACTAGATGAAGTAATCTTTTTTCAGTTATCTTTTATTCCATGTTAGTAGTTTTTAAAAATAAAAAGTGACTTGATGATAAAATTGTAATAGATGTTATCAAAGAAGAAGCCAAGACATAGGGCACAAGAGGGCTCATGTTTACATGTACAGCCTTTTACCACGATTCCTTTGTTCAATCAAGTGGCTGAGAGCATCTTGTATTTTAATTAATTACAATGTAATGAGAATACATACTCTAATGTTTTTGAAATAAGTAAATAAAGGAAAATACGGAGTCATACAATCCAAAGTCAGTGTTTTTAGTAGAGTTGGTTTATTTGTGGAGGGGTTTTTGTTTTTTGTAAACCTTCTTGTAAAATGCCCTTATGTAGTCAGTTCTGTTTTATCTGCGTTGATGGATTTAAATTGGTAATCCATCCAGATGAGAATCCTAACCTTGGAGTCAGAAAGTGCTTGGAGGTGGTTGTATTTACTTCCTACGTATCGGAGAGACTCTTTAACAATGCCTACTGCACATCCACTACAGATTTCAGTTTCCTACATACTGCTTTGCAAGACAGTTAATTCCATTATGATTTCATTTATCATAAAATGACTCTCTTAACTGCTCTGTCTTCTATAGTAATAGGGGAGTATAAAGACCAAATTGTATCCGTCAGGTGTGAAAGAAATGCTCATGTAATATAGGTATAACCCCCTAGCTTTCTTTCCTTATTTCCTTATTTCTTTCTTTTCCTCTCATTTATTTATTATTTACTGTCTTTTTTTAAATATTTATTTTTTAGTTTTAGGTGGACACAATATCTTTATTTTATTTTTATGTGGTGTTGAGAATCGAACCCAGTGCCTCACGCATGCTAGGCAAGCGCGCTACCATTTGAGCCACATCCCCAGCCCATGTCTTTTTTTCTTTTTTATATTTAGTTACTCAAAACTGTTGGAATGAAGAAATGAATAATGATAATAAGTAATACCTAATCTTACAGAGTTAGGAGGATTAAATGGTCAGTCACATGAGGATTAAATGGTCACATGTATGAAGTTTTTGGCACAGTACATGGTACATGGTAAACATTTAATTAATGCTAACAGTACCATGCTGGCAATGATCTCTATCATCAAGTCTTTTCCTGCTAGATAAATAGGGAAGATAATTATTAACAACTAACTTTAACAGAAGGCTGAATTGAATAAGCGAAGGTCTTATTCCTGTAAAGGAGCAAAGAATTTCAGTTAGAGAATCAAGGAGGAATCCTCTCCTTTAAACACTGAAGTATGAATAGAATCTCCTTAGAGAGAAGGCAGGATTCTAGATTGAGAGGTTACCTGAGCAGAAAGCACAGAGCTGAGAAAGTGTGTGTGATGGATCCTTAGAAGTCAGACTGCACAGGCTTTGATAGCGATGATGGGAAGATTGTACTTTACTCCAAAGGCTTTGGGTGATCTTTTCAGGTCTTTGAACTGAGGCCCCATTTTGCAGTCATACAGTAAATTAAATGTGATTATTGTGTATAGATGATTAGTGGTTCCTGTAAATTTAAAATTTTGACAGAAATGGCTAACGGAAAGTGTACAGCAGGAGAAAAATGATTGTAATCCAGGGTGTGAAATGGAAATCCCGGGCAGATTGTGCAAAAATTAGTTTTTCAGAGTAAGCCCTAGGAAACTTTTGAAAATGTTATTTGGAGCTTTTCATACTTAGAGGATTAAGCAAATTTATTAGGTAATAACCTCTCTAAAAGAATCTTAATCTCTAGTTTGGGAGAAAGGATTGAGTTGGTATGTGTATGGAAAAGGAGCTGGGCCCTTCTGGCCATCTGCCTGTGTAACTGAAGATGAACTACATCAGGAGAATGGACTGGCTTTCAGCCTGAAGGGAGAGCTGTAAGCACATTTTGAAACTGAGCACTTGGTTTCTGTTTTTAAGTCTCTGAAGAGAATTCTCTGACATAGGGAATTAGCTTTGGGGGATGGATCCGAAGTGCCTAGATTTCAGCATTGCCGACATTTTCTCTTTGATATGAAATGATTGATCTATTCCTTAAGGTTATCTTGTATTTTTACTGATTTCTACTATTGCTTATGGAGATTTTGTGTTTCTAATACTTAAGACTCCAAATAATTCAAGCCTCAGTTTAGAGAAGTTGTTAAGAAGGGGGCTTGATTAAGAAATAGAGACTGGTTGGCTGTTGGTAAAGCCAGAATTTAATTTAAGCTCTGAAGAGTAGGGTTATTGGCTGGATGGAGTGACTAGTGATTTATTATTTTATTTTTTGGCTCTGACCTCTTCTAATTATACAAATGATCTGTCAGCTAGACTAAACTAGCAACAGGGGTGTATGTTTGTAATAACTGCTGATTTTCTCTTGGTATGAGATGGACTTTCTTTTAAAATATTTTTTTAGCTCTTGATAATAGACCTTTATTTAATTTATTTATTTATATATGGTGCTGAGAATTGAAGCCTTTGCCTCACACATGCCACTCAAGTGCTCTACCACCAAGCCACAACCCCAGCTTAGATGGACTTTTCATGTTTACCAGAATCCTGCAAAACAAAAGCAAGCTACTACTTAGTTTATGTTCTAGGGAATACTGATGTTCTTTTGTAGGAGCATGGCACTTATATGACACTTATGCTTTTCAAAAAAAATTCATATCTGCTCTCATTTTATACAACTATTCTGCAAATGAGATAGAACAGGACTAATTCCTATTTGACAGGGGATGCTGAGGCATAAATGAAAGATGGGGTTACAGTTGCTGGGTCAACAAATAAATGACTGGGACAACCTGTTATAATTTCATTTTTGAGCTGTCGCTTTGGAACATTATATAGGAGTGAAAAAACTGAATGCTGTCTCTATTTGTTGTTACTTTTTAGCGGCGTCTTCGGCATCTTCGAAACATTGCGGCCCGGAACATTGTTAATAGAAATGGCCATCAACTGCTTGATACCTACTTCACACTTCACTTGTGTAATACTGAAAAAATATATAAAGGTAAGGGAATCTGTGGACCCATCGATTGTTACATCTCATTTTTATTCTTTTGTAGCACAAGTGATTTTTTTTAGTGCCTCCAGTTATTGCTGCTTATTGGAAAGTTCAGTTGTCATTCTGTCATGTTGAACAATTATACATATTAAAGAAGCATGGCTAATAGTTCTTTCTGGTAACTTTCTGATAGTTTGTCATTCTTTTATGAATGTAGCTGTTAATATTCCAGTAGCTGCATTTAAAATGGAGTATGTGATTCCACTAAACATTTTCTTTGCTCTTATGGTAAAATAGAAATCTAGTTTGTGTCTGCTTTTTTTGGTGATGCTGGGGATTGCACCCAGGGCCTTGTGCATTCTAGGTAAGCACTCTACCAACTGAGCTATATATATCCCCAGCCCCATGTTTGTGTCTTCTTATACCTGTAATTTCTTCTGTAATGGGGTCCTTTTCAGAAGAGTGTCATATTTTTTCTCTTTCATGTATTATATTATGGATTCTTCCGTAAGTGACATTTCTAAGAATAGATGAAATATTTAATTCAAAATCACAATCATCTTTGGAACACATGTTGAAACAAAAGACACTTTTATAAAACCAGTTGACTTAAGTGGGATGAACTTACATGTTATCATAGGCTGTTTTTTGAAGTTATCTCAACGAAATGATCATGAACATGTTTAGGGAACAGGTGGTGAAAAAATCACAGAGAATTCCAGGCCCTGGTAATAGTACTGAGTCTTTCACTCACTTGGAAGCCTTATGAGCCTCACTTAATTTATCCTTAAAATGAGAGAACTGAGGATTTCTGTGACTTCCTTCTGCTCTGAAATCTCATGGTTGAATGAAATCTCTTCATAAGTTTTGTTGGGCTTTGTAAAGCTTTCTCTCAGTAATCCTAGTGAATGTCACCTTATCTTTTTTTTTTTTTTTTTTTTTGTACCAGGGATTGAGCCCAGAGGCACTGTCTGAGCCACATTCTCCAGCCCTTTTTATGTTTTATTTAGAGACAAGGTCTTGCTGAGTTGCTTAGGGCCTTGCTAAATTGCTGAGGCTGGCTTTGAACTCTCAATCCTCTTGCCTCATCCTCCCGAGCTGCTGGGATTACAGGCATGTGCCACCATGCTCAGCAGGTCACCTTATCTTATTGGACCTGTCATGACAAACATGAATATTTCATGATCATTATATGGTCCTTGGTGTAAAATGACTATGATGAAAGGTCAGTTGGCTCTTCTCACTGAACTACTTGTACTACCTATTTAGTGGTATCATTTCTTAGTTTTACAAGAAATTTTTTTATTGGAAGAATATCTGAAATGCTGGTTTCTAAGTATTCTTTTATTTTAGCAGGTCTCAAGAACATATGTGTGAAATTTTTTGACTTTTGATATCTTTTTAGTGCTGGTAGGAGATTTTCGGTTAAGGTAGTTCACATCAAATACCAATTGTTATATCCCCATAGAATAAAACCTGTTGTATGGATGGGGAACCAGGTTCTAATTTTGTTTCCCTCATAAAGTTGAAATTTTTATAACATCAAATTTGTTCTTCATTCAGTTATTTTCTCAGTTGTGAAATATCTGTGTCTGTCTTCTCCTGGAATACCAACTAGCTGCGATACATCTGAAGAAGAACTCAATACAATCTAATTTGATGATCTCATCCAAGTTTCATATTTAAATATGATCTATTGACCTTTCCTCTGAACTCATACTCCTATATCCAGTTGTACAACCCCCTTTGAAGTCTAGTAGTAACTTAACCTTGGTGTCACCTTTCCATTGCTGTGACCAAATACCTGAGATAAACCACTTAAAGGAGGAAAGATTTATTTTTGCTTATGTTTCAGAGATTTCAGTTCATAGTTGGCTTTATTTCTGTGAACTTGTGGTAAGGCAGGACATCATGGTCAGGAGAAAATGTTGGAACAATGTTCTTCACTCTGTGATGGCCAAGAAGCAGAGGTGGATGTGGAGGGGTGGGGAGGCAAGATGTAATTCCCAAGGACCTTCCGCTAGGTCCCACCTCCTCCAGTTTCCACCATCTCCCAGTAGTCTTTTCAACTATAAATTCATCAGTGGATTAATTCATTGAAGAGGTCAGAGCCCTCAATCACTTCCCAAAAGCCCCACCTCTGAACATTGCTGCATTGATCACCAACCCTTCAACACATGAGCCTTTGGGGGGCATTCCAGATCCAAACTGTAACAAGTGGTATGTTCAGAAATGAATTTCTGATGTTCTAATCCTGAATTCATTCTTCTATTACAAAAATGGCAACTCCGTTTCCTTGCTAAAAACCTTGGAATCATCCTGGATTGTCATCTTTCTGTTATATCCCACATCCAATTTATTAACAAGTACTTTTGGCTGTTATTATTATGTTGCCATAATCAGATCACTTCTTGCAATCTCCAAACCATCATCTCTTGCCTGAATTGTTGAAGTGTTCTTGTAACAGGTTTGTCTGTCTGTGTCTCTCCCTCACTCTGTTCTCAACTAAGATTCTATTAAAATGAAAATCAGATTGTGATATTCTCCTCAAAATCCCCCAGTGGCTTCCTCCCTCATTCAGAATAAAAGCCAAAAACTCGTGTGGTTTCCTTGAAGGCTCATGATTTGACCCTCTGCTGCCTCTCATGTTCCTCTCCTGCCCTCCTGACCTTGCTGTTTATTTGCCCCAAGCTCTTTCCTCCAGGTAGCCACATTACTAGCCTTTCACCTTTCTGCAGGTCTTTATTCCTCTTGTTTCTCAGAGAAATTCCTTGATCACCCACTAACCCTCTCGCAGATTGTGACTATCCTGCCTGTCTTTTGTGCTTTATTTTTGTCCACAGTACTTACGCTCATCCAGCATACAGTATGTTCAGTTATTTGGTAACATATGGCTCCTCCACTAGAATGTAAACTCCACGAGAGCAGAAATTTTAAAGTTTACCTTAGCTCACTGTTGTGTTCCTAAAACCTGGAACAATACTTGGCATGTGCTAATACATATCTTTTTTTTTTCTAAATTTAATTTTTGAATAGATAATTCAGTCTGTGGTTCAAAATATATACAAAGGTTTAAATTAAAACCTTCCTTTCACGGGTCTCCCATCATCCTAGTTTTCCACCTCACCCTGATAACTATTCTTACTCATTTCTGTTCATCTTTCCTGAGATTCTTTAGGGCAAATACAAGTAAAAATAGGAGTGTTCTTATTCTTTTCTCCTCTCTTGTTCACACAAAGATACCACCCTACTTACTCCACTTAATGTATCTTAAATGGCTTTTTCCATGTTGGTTTAAAGACCCTCCCTAATTTTTTCCTTACATAATTTTACACTGAATATGTGTACCATAATTTATGTAACTGGCTCCTGTTCTTGGGCATTTAGGCTGTTTCAGTCTTTTGTTATAGTATTGCATCAAACAACTTTGTAAGTACACTGTTTTGTTTGTGTGCTAGTATACCTGGAGGGTAAATTTCAAGAAGTGCACTTACTGGGACAAAAAGATTGTGCACTTTGTTTTGTTAGCTACTGCAAGATTGCCTTCATGTGAATTGCTTCTTGCATGAGTGCCTTTGTTTCCACAGCCTCACAAATGGACTGTGCAAATTTTTGAATTTTTGCCAGTCTGATAGGTGAAAAATAGTTTTGCAGTATAGTTTAAGCTTGTATTTTTCCTGTTATGAGTGAGTCTGATGCACTAATAAGCATATGTTAAATGGATTGCATGTAGTATGACAGCCCAAACTTGCCATTTTAGCCATGCTTTGCCATCTCTTGATTCTGTAACTGTTAAAAGTTACTGTAACTTTTGGGGTGTTTTGAATAATGCTATACAAAACAATCTTTTTAAAGATGTTTTCCTAAAACACATGAATGTATGAGACAAACCTTTGGAAGTAAAATTGCAAGATCAAAGACCAATTCATTATTTTAAAACTTATGTCTAAGCATAATCTGTGAAATTGTTTAATCAGTAAAACATATTTCCCAAGTATCTCCTCTGTGCCAGGAGTGGTTTAACATGCTTAGGAAAGAGTGGATGTACAGAACAAGTGCTGGGGCTCATGGGCTTATGGTTATGGGTTAAATATGTGACACATAAATTTCAACATATTAGGGGAAAAAATTTGTCTATGTATCAGCTCAGATCATCTCAAGTACCAGTAGGATGTACATCACACTGGGGAAACAATATAAGGATGCAGGAGTCCTTATGGGTTCTGCCATGGCAGAGAAGCACTGGGATTACTTGGGCAGAGTAAGCAGAGGGAATATGGAGCATTGTTGGGTCAGAAACCTAAGGTATTTTGATGTCTTTGGGTATTGTAACACCAACATATATGAAGGTTTGTAGGATCAAGAATTTTTTTTTTTTTTTTTTAAATATTTTATTTACATTTTAGTTTTTGGCAGATACAACATCTTTGTATGTGGTGCTGAGGATCGAACCCAGGCTGCACCCATGCCAGGCGAGCGCGCTACCGCTTGAGCCACATCCCCAGCCCCATGAATTTTTGATGTTTATAGAGGACCTTTGATTATTACTCTAATTCTCTATTTGTCTAGTCAAGAAGTTGACTAAGGAAGTTAAAGAGACAGAATGTTAGTGACAGAGGTGGAGATTGAGTTTAGCTTACCTGGTTGCTAGGACAGTATTTATTCCACAAGACTACAGTGAATAATCGTAAGAGATTTTTTCTTTTTTTTTTTTTTTAAAGTACCCAGGATTGAACCTAGGGGTATTTAACCACTGAGTCCCACCCCCAGCCCTTTTTATTTTATTTTTTAAATTTTGAGACAGGGTCTTGCTGTGTTGTTTAGTTGCTGAGGCTGGTCACAAACCTGCAATCCTCCTGCCTCAGCCTCTTAAGTTGCTGGGATTATAGGAGGGAGCCACCTGGCTTGACTTATAGAGATGTTTGAGTAGAACAGGATAAATGGAATCAGCTGTAGAGAGTAGTAGTGGGGGGCGGGGGGAGGAAGAAGAAAGTTTGAGATTTTAAGGGCTCAAGTTAGAATCCGTGGTAAAAGGAGCTAGACAACAATCACTAAATTAAACCTGAGATTTGAACCTTCTTCAAAAGTGATATTTCCCCTTTAAAGCACTTTAATTTAATCTTTATTTCTATTTTTATTTTTTGTAGATAAAGACAACACAGAATAGAGCCCTTGAACATGTTTAAAATGTTTTACTAGAATATATGTTTGAAAATATACAAGATTAAGGGTTAGTTAATTAACTTATTTTCTTTCATATCACTTATTGTTCTTTTTCTTCTTTTCCAGAATTTTATAGAAGTGAAGTGATTAAGAATTCCTTGGTAAGTTTGCTTTCTTACAGGAACATATGATTAAGCCTATATAACCCCTCCCTCAGAAAACATAGAGATGTAAAATAAGTTGAGGCTCAGTTCTCATATTATGATACTTTGGCAAATCTTTAATCAATTATTAAATTATCACTTATTTGTTCATCACTTCTATCTTGTTAAGAAAAATGCCTGGCACATAGTAGGTGCTTGATAAATATTTACTGACTAAATATATTTTTTCTATTGGAAACTTTGTTAAAAACTCAAATTCTGTTTCTGAAACTTTCACTTACTATAAAGAGTGTTTTTATTATTTGACTTGCCAAACATAATAAATGTTATCTTTGTTTAGTAAGGTTTTTAAGAATATTTTGCATAGGGTCTTTGTATAAGGTATATTGTTTCTTGGCTGTGGCATTGCTCAGTTACAAAGTTGGAGGTGTCCTATGTTTGATAATGTATATGCTGGATATTTGCATAAATGCTTCATTTATTACACTGTATTGAAAAAAAAAAAGAAGAGCTTTTTGATAATGAAAATATCCTTTTAGGGCTAGGTGAAGTGATGCATGCCTATAATTCCAGCAACTCAGGAGGCTTAGGCAGGAGGTTCAAAAATTTGATGCTAAGTCTCAGCAACTTAGTGAGACCCTGTCTTAAAATAGAAAGAACTGGAGATGTACTTCAATGATAAAGTGTCCCTGAGTTCAATCCCTAGTACCAGGGGGGAAAACAAAAGTAGAGAAAGAAAAAAGAAAACATCTTTTTAGAGGTCTAAGCCCATACTGGGTTTGGCTCATGTTTACTTTCTCAGTCTCGTCTCCGAACACTCTTTTCACTCATTGTGTTCAAGCCTGCCTTCTTTCAATGTTTCACACGTGCCTCACCTGTTGTTCCTTATACACTTGTTTCCTCAGCTCTTTGCTTGGCTGAAGAGGTCTTTGAGGTTTCAGCAAGGCCTGTGACCATTTCCTTCTTTACTCTATCTAGTCACTTTATTTTTCATATCACCCTGTTTTCTTTGTAGCATTTATCACTATTGCTCACTTATTTGTTTGAGTTTATTAACTGCCTTTCACCTACTACAATGTAAGTTCCATTTGTTCAAGATCTTGCCTGTCTTGTTCATGACTGTAACCCTGGAGTCTAGAATAGATGCTTAACTGCTTGTTAAATGAATAAATGCATATCAGTGATGCATTGTATTTATAGAATCCTTGTACATATGTTACTCCATTTTCATTTTTAGAACAGCCTGCCAGGCAGATGGGACAAATCTTAAGAAATCAATAGCCAGAGAGGCCCAGTGACTTTTGCAGAGACACACAACTTCAGGACCAGAACCCCAATCCAGACTACTGTCTTTAGGACTCTATTGCTCTTTGTTCCTCCTCAAGCTGTCTCCTAAATATCTCTAAAATATCATAACAGATTTGGATCCTAGGGCAGAGAGGTTCCTTGAGCCTGTCTCTGGAGAAGTCTGAAGCTCTGGTTCTATAAATGTTAAATGACATATGATAAATGCCTCTTGCCATGCTTAACGTAGAATAAATTAGTTTTTCCTGTCTTGGCTCAGGTGGATAGAGAGAGTCTTTTTTTTTTTTTTAATTGGTTGTTCAAAACATTATAAAGCTCTTGACATATCATATTTCATACATTAGATTCAAGTTGGTTATGAACTCCCAATTTTACCCCAAATACAGATTGCAGAATCACATCGGTTACACATCCACATTTTTACATAATGCCCTATTAGTAACTGTTGTATTCTGCTACCTTTCCTATCCTCTACCATCCCCCCTCCCTCCCCTCCCATCTTCTCTCTCTACCCCATCCACTGTAATTCATATCTCTCCTTGTTTATTTTCCCATTCCCCTCACAACCTCTTATATGTAATTTTGTATAACAATGAGGGTCTCCCTCCATTACCATGCAATTTCCCTTTTCTCTCCCTTTCCATCCCACCTCATGTATCTGTTTAATGTTAATCTTTTCTTCCTGCTCTTCCTCCCTGCTCTGTTCTTAGTTGCTCTCATTATATCAAAGAAGACATTTGGTATTTGTTTTTTAGGGATTGGCTAGCTTCACTAAGCATAATCTGCTCTAGTGCCATCCATTTCCCTGCAAATTCTATGATTTTGTCATTTTTTAGTGCTGCGTAATACTCCATGGTGTATAAATGCCACATTTTTTTTATCCATTCATCTATTGAAGGGCATCTGGGTTGGTTCCACAGTCTAGCAATTGTGAATTGTGCTGCTATGAACATCGATGTAGCAGTATCCCTGTAGTACGCTCTTTTAAGGTCTTCAGGGAAAAGTCCAAGAAGGGCAATAGCTGGGTCAAATGGTGGTTCCATTCCCAGCTTTTCCAGGAGTCTCCATACTGTTTTCCAGATTGGCCGCACCAGTTTGCAGTCCCACCAGCAATGTACAAGAGTACCCTTTTCCCCACATCCTCTCCAGCACTTGTTGTTGTTTGACTTCATAATGGCTGCCAATCTTACTGGAGTGAGATGGTATCTTAGGGTGGTTTTGATTTGCATTTCTCTGACTGCTAGAGATGGTGAGCATTTTTTCATGTACTTGTTGATTGATTGTATGTCCTCATCTGAGAAGTGTCTGTTCAGGTCTTTGGCCCATTTGTTGATTGGGTTATTTGTTTTCTTATTGTTTAATTTTTTGAGTTCTTTGTATACTCTGGATATTAGGGCTCTATCTGAAGTGTGAGGAGTAAAAATTTGTTCCCATGATGTAGGCTCCCTATTTACCTCTTTTATTGTTTCTCTTGCTGAGAGAAAACTTTTCAGTTTAAGTAAGTCCCATTTGTTGATTTTTGTTATCAACTTTTGTGCTATGGGTGTCCTATTAAGGAATTTGGAGCCCGACCCTACAATATGTAGATCGGAGCCAACTTTTTCTTCTATCAGACGCAGAGTCTCTGATTTGATATCTAGCTCCTTGATCCACTTTGAGTTAACTTTTGTGCATGGCGAGAGGAGGGGATTCAGTTTCATTTTGTTGCATATGGATTTCCAGTTTTCCCAGCACCATTTGTTGAAGATGCTATTCTCCCTCCATTGCATGCTTTTAGCTCCTTTATCAAATATAAGATAGTTGTAGCTTTGTGGATTAGTCTCTGTGTCCTCTATTCTGTACCATTGGTCCACCCTCCTGTTTTGGTACCAGTACCATGCTGTTTTTGTTACTATTGCTCTGTAATATAGTTTTAAGTCTGGTATCGCTATACCGCCTGATTCGCACTTCCTGCTTAGAATTGCTTTTGCTATTCTGGGTCTTTTATTTTTCCATATGAATTTCATGATTGCTTTATCCATTTCTACAAGAAATGCCGTTGGGATTTTGATTGGCATTGCATTAAACCTATAGAGAACTTTTGGTAATATCGCCATTTTGATGATGTTAGTTCTGCCTATCCATGAACAGGGTATATTTTTCCATCTTCTAAGATCTTCTTCTACTTCTCTTTTTAGGGTTTTGTAGTTTTCATTATATAAATCTTTCACCTCTTTTGTTAGGTTGATTCCCAAGTATTTTATTTTTTTTTGAGGATATTGTGAATGGAGTGTTTTTCCTCATTTCCGTTTCAGAAGTTTTGTCACTGATATACAGAAATGCCTTTGATTTATGCGTGTTGATTTTATATCCTGCCACTTTGCTGAATTCATTTATTAGTTCTAGTAGTTTTTTTGTAGACCCTTTTGGGTCTTCTAGGTATAGAATCATGTCATCTGCAAATAGTGATAATTTAAGTTCTTCCTTTCCTATTTTTATGCCTTTAATTTCTTTCGTCTGTCTAATTGCTCTGGCCAGTGTTTCGAGAACTATATTGAATAGAAGTGGTGATAGAGGGCATCCCTGTCTTGTTCCAGATTTTAGGGGGAATGCCTTCAATTTTTCTCCATTGAGAATGATGCTAGCCTGAGGCTTAGCATAGATAGCTTTTACAATGTCGAGGTAAGTTCCTGTTATCCCTAGTTTTTCTAATGTTTTGAACATAAAGGGATGCTGTACTTTGTCGAATGCTTTTTCTGCGTCTATTGAGATGATCATATGGTTCTTATTTTTAAGTCTATTGATGTGGTGAATAACATTTATTGATTTCCGTATATTGAACCATCCTTGCATCCCAGGGATGAATCCTACTTGATCATGGTGCACAATTTTTTTGATGTGCCTTTGTATCCGATTCGCCAGAATTTTATTGAGGATTTTTGCATCTATGTTCATCAGAGATATTGGTCTGTAGTTTTCTTTCTTTGAGGTGTCTTTGTCTGGTTTCGGAATCAGGGTGATGTTGGCCTCATAGAATGAATTTGGCAGAGCTCCTTCTTTTTCTATTTCCTGAAATAACTTGAAAAGTATTGGTATTAATTCTTCCTTAAAGGTTTTGTAAAACTCCGGTGTATACCCATCCGGTCCTGGGCTTTTCTTGGTTGGAAGTCTTTTGATTGCTTCTTCTATTTCATCTATTGTTATTGGTCTGTTTAAGTTGTGAGTATCCTCCTGACTCAGTCTGGGCAAATCATATGACTTAAGGAATTTATCAATGTCTTCACTATCTTCTATTTTATTGGAATATAGGTTTTCAAAATAATTTCTAATTGTCTTCTGTATTTCTGTAGTGTCTGTTGTGATATTGCCTTTTTCATCCCGTATGTTAGTGATTTGAGTTCTCTCTCTTCTTCTCTTCGTTAGCATGGCTAAGGGTCTGTCGATCTTATTCATTTTTTCGAAGAACCAACTTTTAGTTTTGTTAATTTTTTCAATAGTTTCTTTTGTTTCAATTTCATTGATTTCCGCTCTGATTTTAATTATTTCTTGCCTTCTGCTACATTTGCTGTTGTTTTGCTCTTCCTTTTCTAGGGCTTTGAGATGAAGTGTGAGCTCATTTATTTGTTGGTTTTTCCTTTTTTTGAGGAATGACCTCCAAGCGATGAATTTCCCTCTTAAAACTGCTTTCATTGTGTCCCATAGATTCTGATATG